CTGCCCGCCTTCTGTCCCCCAAGAACAGTACTCATTCTCACACTGATCAACCACATGCCTGTGGGAAACCCAAGAAGATTTCCCTCTCCTGTGGTTTCCAGCAACTGGCACTCAGAAGCATCGCTGTCTCCCATTTGTGGAGTCAGAGCGCATGGCTACTAGCCGCCCTTTAGTGTTTTTGCCTGGGGAGAATGCTGTTGCACTTAGGTCATAGAATCAGAATCATAGAATTGTAGAGTTGGAAGGAACCCCAAAGGGTGATCTAGTCCAACCTCCCGCAGCGGAGGTCCCATAGGCATCTGGTTGGCCCTTGTGAGCAGGGCTGGCCCAAGACATTTTGGCGTCTGAGGTGAACCACAAAATAGCACCCTCCCATCCCACCGCCAGGGAGGATGAGGTGAGTGAAGATCTACATCAGGAACCAAGAGGGAATAAATATCTACATTGGGAACAAAGGCGGGGGAATCAAATCAACCTTACTGGGTGGCTGACCTGGAAATCAAAGGCTGTCACAGGAGAATTGGGGCCCACTCTGAATCTGGAGCAGCAGGAACAGTAGGCAGGGAAGAAATAAGTCTGGAGGTCCTGCAGGATTGCCCAGTGGCATCTCTCAGCAACCAGTGACCCAGACTTGAGGAAGAGCAGTGGACCATGGATTTCTATAGCAGACACCGGGTGCCTGTTTTGGGAGCTACCTAATTCCAAGGACAATTCAAGGATCAGAGTTTTGGGTTCATATTCATGTGGCCAAATGCTTGCTGAATCAAGCTCACCATGCTCTCCTAATGCATCTCAGTCAAAATGTCTTGAGGCGGCCTATCCAAACCCAAGGAACTGCTCTCAAGTGGCTTCCAACGTCCACGGAGAGCCTCAACACAGACAAACGCATGATTCTGCGTTGCAAACCATTCCTCTTGCCGGCTCCTTGGGAATGAGTCACATAATCAGATTATTCCTGTTGATCTTATTAACAAGTTCATTGATCTGTTGTGTGTTTATTCTGAGTCAGTTAACTCTTCTTCTACTTGATTGTAATGACTAAGCTTAAGAGACCAGGCAAAAGATCCATAACGGGGGCGTAGCACCATTTGCCGGCACCTGGGCAGCTGTGCACACATATGGCAGGTGGGGGCAGAGGGTGCTCATTCAGCCCAGGCTGGTGGGTGCTTGCACACCAGGTGGGGCACAGAGGGCGCATGCCAGAGAACTCTGCGGGTGATGCCTGGTTCACACACACCCCAGATTGTGCACCCAGGGCATCGCCCGCCCTGCCCTACCACGCTACGCCACTGATCCATGATTAGGAATATTTCGCCTCATTCACTTACCAGGGCAAGGATTCTCCCATCAGTTGCCAGTGACATCATCGCTCCTGCTTTGAGCTTTTCTCCCCCTGCATTACTTCTCCACCACACAACAGCTGGGCACTGTGAACAGCCAACGCATGCACTCATGTACACACAGTGCACACAGCTACCAGTAGGGAGAACGGGTTGCAGTGAAGCACAGAAAGGGTGCATAGGAAGTGGGTGATGAACCATCAGCCCATAGCTAGGCTGAGTCTCGTGCAGAACAAAGATGTCTCAGTGTTCTGCTGTGGCTCAGCTGGTCTTTAATTAAGCAATAAGGCATTGCCCTGTCAATCGGCTGCACACAGTTCAGTCTTTCTCTCCAGCTGGTCATCTTTCTGGCAGTCATTTGGAGGCCATTAACATATAAATGAGTTTGGTTATGTTGAGGAGCAGGAGGGGGCAGCAGGACAAGATGATATTCGCTGTCGTGCACTTGGCTGGAGTTGCAGTGACCACATGTCCTGCTTCACAGAGGACAGTCGTCTGCTTGAAGGGCTGTTCAGTCTGAGTCTCATTTAGAAAGCTAAGAAGGGAGAACAGGAGGGGCTTTGAAGATGCCCATCACCGGATAGTACCTAGATAGTAAGACTGAGCAGGTACACAGGTCATGTGGTCACAGCCTTCCCTACTATTTTGAGATCATTGTATTTTTATTTACATTATACTTTGCATTTCTAAATTTGCATCTGTACACAACTATACATCGGTACCTGGTTGACAGCTGGAACAGAATGCAAGACTAGATGGGCTTTTGGTTTTATCCAGCACGTTTCTTATTATTTTTTGAAAAAATTACCATGGGCATATTCCATGGGAATCTCTTCTGCCCTCTTTTTTGCTGACACTTTCCCCTTTTTCGGCTATGTGTATGTGGCCACCATAGTTGCAGCTTCTGCTCCTTGTACAGTGCTTGGGCTGCCCTACTGTTAGACAGAGTGAGACAGCCCCTCAGGTGGCAGATGCTGGGGAGCAGCAATGGCACACACACACATATGCACAGAGGCTGTTTTTCCTGAGCCCCCAGCCGTTCCCCTCTGTTGTATGATAGAGCCTGCTGCATTCAGGTGTGATGGAGGAGACATAAAGTAGCAAGCACATAGAGCTGAAGGAGGAAGTTGGAAGAGCAGCTCTCTTTCCCACTTCCTCTTTCGGTTCTTTGTGCTTTTCAAGGCTCAGATTAATTCTGCCATATTTGACTTTTACCTGGATTCCTTGGAAAAGTGAAGGGTGTTCACACACGTGCTTTCTCTCTTTCTGTTTCTGGGGGAGATGGAGGAAGGGGGACCAGAGAGGGTGTCGCCCACAGCACCTGCTTAGAAATCCAGATATGCTCACAGGCCTAAAATGGTCGGTGACCCCTTAGTTTATCAAAACGACCCTTGAGATCCCTTGAATAAATGCCTCCCATTGTCACTGAATTAACCTTCTTCCTCTTCCACTTCCAACGTCTTCTTCAGAATTGGGGGGGGGGGGGAACCATGGAAGGGGGAAATGAGTCTGTGCAAAATAAATTAAACGATAGCGTGCTTAACTTCATTTTAAGTAGGGAATTGGGAAGCTCAGCTGTATAACTCTTTGCTCCGGGGGATTAGATGGTTATCACTTATGCTTCTGAACTGGACAGAAGAGTACTATCAGCCAGATGGGACATGGTAATTGCTTCTTCCTTTTTCTTTAGTGCCATAGCAAAGCAAGCATGCTAAAAGATGCTTCACTTCATCTCTGCAAACCTGGTTTTGCAACTGAGCATGCGCTTTACAGGGAGCTACAGCTAATCTTTCACATGCAGTGGGTTTTATTCAAGGCTGGAATCAGTATCTCATACTGATACTGATTCCAGCCTTGGTATGAGGAATAAATACATTCACAGATTTAAAAACAGGTCTCATTTGTGCAGCACGTTTCTTAGGTGCACATTTACAAGTTCTACAAATGCACACCTTTGAAAAATATAAGACAGTATACAACTTGTCTCTCTGTTTATTCCATTTATGTTGCATCTCGAGGTTGATGAGAGATGTTGATCAGGGAGGTGTGTCAGAAGAAGAAGGAACTTATATGCATTAGTGTCTAAGCGGTTTTATTATGTATTTTTTATAACTTTTGTTGTTTTAGTTTGTTGCACACTGCTTTAAGATATCTGTGTATATTTAGTGATATAGAAAAACAGCCTAAATAAATATAGTAAAATAAATACAGTATTGCAGCTAGCATTCCAGTTTCCTTTCCATTTTTCTACTTGATGGTTATTTATGATGTCTTTTGTTTGTTTTTTAAGTTGTTGCTGTTTATCAGTTTTGCGCCTTTCACTGATGTAGCTGCTTCGAGCATCTCCTGGCAAGACTCTTTGACCCCAAACACAATATCATAAATCACAGTTCCCAGCTTGCAACTCAGGCTAATTTTACTCTGCCGTTGCTTAAATGCACAGTCAGCAGCTTCCCTGAGCCCTTAATTCCACTGAGTAACTTTTCCATATTAATAAAACACACTATTGTGTATGTATGTGTGTGGCTGGCCTTGATATGTCACTCTTGACGGATTGCATTGAAACACTTAAGCTGTGACAACCCCCACATCGTCCCTCCCCTCCCTTGTATTAATTCTTGCACACATTATGATAATCCAGCATGCAGAAGGCGATTTGCTTGCTAAATGACCCAGATTTTCTCCACGGTTGTATGGTGAGTGGGATAGTAGGACAAAGTAAAGACCTTCTGAACCCTTACATCCCAGCTTAATCATTGAAATCATCTGGTGAAGTGCTGATAGTGGTCCCCCACATTACGGAGGCCTGACTGACCTTAGCTAGAAGTCGGATGTTTGGTGTCACCAGCCCTGTGCTATGAAATACTCTTCCGGCCGAGATTAGACAGGCAGACTCTCTCTATTAACTTTCGGGTGTCTCTTAAGGATCTTTTTAATGCCCACAGGTCATCTAGTCCAACCCTCTGCAATGCAGGAGTGGCAGTGAAAGATTCCCTGAGGAATTTGCTAGGCGGACGGTGAGATCAGGGATGAATGAGTGTGTGAAGGACGGGGAGAGCAGGATGGGAAAGGCACCGTCAGGAGTCATGACACGCGTCAGCCTGACAAAGTAGGCAGATTACGGAACAGGGCTCTTTACCTGGCAGGCTCCAGTCCCCTAACCCCCACCTGAGAGCCCACCAGCACTGCCCCACATACCTGTTCGGCCTCTTGTCCTGGAAAGAAAAGAGCAGCGATTAGGAGAAAAGGAGCAGCAACAGCTATGACTTCAGTTTGGGGCTGCAGTTAGGAAGGCAGGAAGCTGCTCTATAAATGAGTCATATTCCTGGTCTATCTAGCTCAGTATTTGTTATGTACTGAAGTTCTCACCCTGGGCCAGCAGGGGGATACTGTAGATAGTTATGCAAATGAAGGATCGAAAGTGACGTTCAGTGATTGGATAGTTTTAGAAAGTTGTTACAGTAACAAGGTACTGGAGCTCTATATAAGCAGGCTGACTGAGCCCTTCAGTTCAGTTCTGTTCTGGCCTCTGAATAAAGAAGAGCTGTTTGAAGAATCACTGTGTCATCTGATATGTTCACCCACAACTTAACAGTATTGTCTACACAGACTGGCAGAGGCGCCAAAGGTTTCAGACTGGGGATTTCTCCTAGCCCTACCTGGAAAGGCCGGGGATCGAACCTGAGGCCTTCTGCATGCAAATTAGATGCTCTGCCACTGAGCCATGGCACCTTCCTCTATGCTGGATGTGTGAGAGAGAGAGGATGAGAGAGGGTGTTTTCAGTTTCTCAGTCTGTCTGGGTCTTCCTCTTCTCTCTGTATGTGTGTGATGCAGAGAGAAGGGGGTTGCATTGCCCACAGGCTCAGTTCCTGGAGAGAGTGCTTGTCTGCTGTGCTCAGTTCTGTCGCCACATTATTTGCTAGCTCGTTTTCTTATTTGAGAGATTTCTGTCCCATCCTTCAGGTAGAACCTTTCAGAGCGGCCAGCAAGGTAGAGCGCCTAGGGGTCTTCTTTTACAGGGAGCAACCCTGTAATTTGAAGGGCTGCCCGATTTAAGTCTGCTTTGAAGAGAGAGCAAGCAGCAATGTGTTATATTTCTGTTTAAATCATTCCACTTAAGAATTATTTCCAAACTTGCATCTGTGTGTATAAATTAGCACAACCAAATTTTATGTAGATTTGTATCCTTTTTGTGGTGCCGCAATTCCTCTTTTTGGGCAATGTGCAAATCCCCTCCACCACCACCCCCCATAACAGGGTTAAGCATGGCAGCAAGATATACCATTAAGGCACCAAAAATGTTACTAAGCACTGTTGTTGTTGTTGTTTAGTCGTTTAGTCGTGTCCAACTCTTCGTGACCTCATGGACCAGAGCACGCCAGGCACTCCTGTCTTCCACTGCCTCCCGCAGTTTGGTCAAACTCATGCTGGTAGCTTTGAGAACACTGTCCAACCATCTGGTCCTCTGTCGTCCCCTTCTCCTTGTGCCCTCCATCTTTCCCAACATCAGGGTCTTTTCCAGGGAGTCTTCTCTTCTCATGAGGTGGCCAAAGTATTGGAGCCTCAGCTTCACGATCTGTCCTTCCAGTGAGCGCTCAGGGCTGATTTCCTTAAGAATGGAGAGGTCTGATCTTCTTGCAGTCCAGTCTTGCAGTCTCAAGAGTCTCCTCCAGCACCATAATTCAAAAGCATCAATTCTTTGGCAATCAGCCTTCTTTATGGTCCAGCTCTCACTTCCATACATCACTACTGGGAAAACCATAGCTTTTACTATACAGACCTTTGTTGGCAGGTCTACTTTGTTGGCCTACTAAGCGTTAGGAGACAACAAAGATGCAGTCAAATGAAAGATCTTCAGGTGGTGCCCAAAATATATCAGTCGTAATGCCCGTCAAGCCTCCCTGGGATGTTTGGGGTGCCACAACTGAAAAGGCTTTGGCACCCACTTTTCTTCTGAAGGGATCTTATTTTTTTAGTTATTGCTTTGCTAGCAGTGTTTTATAGATTGCGGTTGTTTCAGTGAAGACTACTCTGTATGATTTATGCTATATTTGTGATGTTCTATCACGTTCTATCATGCTATTGTTATTTATTGTTATGGTTTGGCATTCATTTGACTGAAACGCGGCATAAGAGTATAATAAATCAAATCTTCAATGCTCAGGCAGGTACATAATGCATGTGTGTACAGTGGTGCCTCGCAAGACGAAATTAATCCGTTCCGCGAATCTCTTCGTCTTGCAGTTTTTTCGTCTTGCGAAGCACGGCTATTAGCGGCTTAGCAGCTATTAGCGGCTTAGCGGCTATTAACGGCTTAGCGACTTAGCGGCTATTAACGGCTTAGCGGCTTTAAGAAAAAGGAAACAAACTCGCAAGAACTCGCAAGACGTTTCGTCTTGCGAAGCAAGCCCATAGAGAAATTCGTCTTGCGGAACAACTCAAAAAACGGAAAACTCTTTCGTCTAGCGAGTTTTTCGTCTTGCGAGGCATTCGTCTTGCGGGGAACCACTGTAACATGACGTATAATCTGTGGCTTGGTTCACAATTTCGAGTTATATACCTTGCCCATTTGGGGGGCTCCGTGCTCTCATGAGGGTCACGGAAGACAAACGCCCCGGGTTTGGGCTGCAACATGTTGGAGGGTATGGATTTGTTTTCTGTTTTCTGACTGTGAAACAGCCATCGGCTGGATTGTGTTGTGGTTTGTCAGGAGCGGATATCTTGTCTGGTACTGATGTCGCTGATATTGCTTGGCGACAGTAATCTGCTTGTAAGCGCATGCAATTCTCGTACACCTAAGATGAACATAACATTTTTCCCGTTAGCTCTCCCCTTAGATGTGGAAAGGGCCTCACCCGGGGACCAGCATTTTTTTGTTCCAAGAGCTGGCAACTCTAACTACCGTATTTTTCACTCTATAAGACGCACCAGTCCATAAGACGCACCTAGTTTTTGGAGGAGGAAAACAAGAAAAAAAATATTCTGAATCCCAGAAACCAGAACAGCGAGAGGGATCACTGCGCAGCGAAAGCCTCCATAAGACGCACACACATTTCCCCTTACTTTTTAGGAGGCGAAAAGTGAGTCTTATAGAGCAAAAAATACGGTACTTCATCTTTTATCCTTTTCCTACAAAATTCCTTTGGTTAGGAGGGGAAAGCCTTCAATACCAGGGACTAGTCTATTTTTAGAAGCAACCTCATATGAAATATACGTACAGGAGAGTGGGGAGGGGGAACCCAAGCAAAATCACTCCCATTCCTCCAGCAAGCCTGTTAAGTGTTAGTAATAAAATTTCTCTTTCTTTCTTTCTTTCTTTCTTTCTTTCTTTCCATCAGGCAGATTCTCAGGCAACAGGCATGCAACTGGAATGGCCTTTGAGGCCATTACCATTTTAAAAATATAGCTTAAAGTCATTTCTTGTACTTTATGCCATGTGTGTGTGTGTGTGTGTATTCACAATGCCTCCCACTTCCTCCTAGGTCGTGTACTCACTATATCTTTAAAGCACACTCAAAACACATCCTTACCCTCAAAGAATTCTGGGCGCTGTAGTTTTCCCTGAGCAGAGCTGCAATACCTAGCAACCCTGAACAAAAATACAGTCCCCAGAATTCTGTGAGGGAAATAATGTGTTTCAAGTTACCGGTACTTTAAAGGTGTAGCGTGTGCACAGCCCAGTGCCAATTACTGAGAGCATAAGCTGATGATTTTGTTTTATTTTTATTTTATTTTGGGGTGGAGGTGGGACATTGGTATAAACCCAAAATAAGCATTCAGGGCAGGCGTACACTCCTTCTCCTGGATTAATCAGCCTTGGGGAGAAGTTGAGCTTTCCCCTCCATCAACTGTTGGCATCTCTATTGGCGAGGACTGTACCAGATTTTCAGAAGCCTGGCTGCAGTGGAAAAAGCAGAGAGGAGAGAAGAATTTGTTGGGATCATTGTGCGCTCTGTAACTTTTGAAGAATGAAGTGCTTGTTACTCAGATGGGGGGCAGGCCTGCTTTACCAGTATTTTGCTCAAAAATAGGCAGTGCTGTTTCAAAGGACTGAAAAGGGGCTTTATCTCACGCCTGGACTTAATATAGTCCATGAAGCTCATCGCCCTCAGCTACACTGCGATCAGCACTGGCAAAGGCTCAGTTTATGAAGAGCCCGTTTCTGCAAAACGCAAGAGGACAAATGCTGAAAGCAATCAGCCTGGAGATGGGACTCTTCTGTCGACGGCACGCCACAAGTGTCTGTGCCGTCAAGAGTCATATGACCAAATGAAAGCCTATGGTCAAGTCGAAAAGGTATCTTTCTTTGCGTTGCTGTGGAGATCTGCAAGAGAGCTTCTTCCCAGTTAACTGACTGGAGGTTTCCCTCATTTCCACCACTCCCACTCACTTTCTCTCTCTGTGTTTTTTGCGCAGATGAAATCATGCAACAGGAGATCAGGCCTCTCGTTGCTGTGGATATCATAGAACAGCTTCACCGGCAGTTTGCTATCCTGTCAGGTAAGGGTTGGGATTCATTTGTTTTATAGCTCTTGGTAGAACACACCCCTTTAATTGCCCGTTGACAGCTAACCAGGAGAAGCTCTGTCGCAGCTGCTAGGTAGAGGCAGGGGCAAAATTGGGTTTGGTTTGCATTTCAATGCAAACCTACCTAATTCTGTACTTCCTGAAACAGCATTCAAATTCAGTTTGTCATAGGTGACCGGGATACATGAGCCGAAACACAGATATCAGTTGATGTTCAAGTGCCTCTGAATTTCATAATGCAGTTCCCCAACCAAAAAAATGTACCCAGAACAGCATATGTTTGGGGGTAAGCAGGTGTAAAAACCCACGCTGGTGAAAATAAAATAGAACAATGCATTATATTGGGGAAATTGCTTGTAAAAATATGTATATTCGACAGAATTGCATTAATATGTGCATACTAGAAGAAAAGGACCCTAAAATGTTGATGAATTTTTGTGAGGCCCTTGTTTTAAAACATTATAAATTGATGCAATAATGTGGATGGGGGAGGGAGGTTAATGGTTTGTTTTGTCATTGTTTTTATTATGTATCTGAGATCTACAGACGAAGGGCAGTATAATAATAATAATAATAATAATAATAATAATAATAATAATAGTAACAACAACAATACAGAAATGTGAAAAACTGTCCCTACAACCAAAGTCCTAGGTCTCTTGAGCCTCATACCCTAAGATTTAGGGAAAGGGCCTGGGAGCTCTGGAATGGGGAGAAGAACCCAGGTTTCAGCTGAGCAGGTGAGTTGCTTCTTCTTCTTCTTCTTCTTCTGTTTAACAGAAGAATTAGAGGTGAGGATGAGTTGCAGTGAGTGTGGTGTAAATGTGCCTCAACCTTTCCTCATAAGGCTCAGTTTCCAGACCCTTGAGCATCTTGGTCGCCCTCCTCTGCTTACATCCCAGCTGGTCCATATCCTTCAGAAACTGCAGTGCCCAGAATTAATGTATTATTATATTAATATTTAAATGTATGTATGTATGTTTCTAATGTGCATAAAGCCTCTGTGAAAAAGATGTATAGCTGGAAGTTAGAGTGAAGCTGTTGCTAAAGCCTTGGTAGATTTTATTGTTTTTATGCCAGGAGAAAAAGGGAATGGCAACCCACCCTCTTCCCATTTCAACATCTTGTAATAACAGCCTGGAATTATGTGCAAATGAGTCCAGTGTGCAGTCTGCACCTATGTGACTGATCCCATTATGCACACCAGG